CTGATTGTTGTTGTTGTTTTTTTTTTTTTTTTCGAAAGAAAACTGCACAGTAGGCAAGCAAACTGCTGACTAGATTTTATTACCCCCGCAGGGATTTCGCCCAGAATGCAAAATCCCGAGGAGGCACTTTAGTAACTTGCGCGTATGTACTTACAGTTGAAATATGCAGTCGGTATGCCAGAAAACATCTCGATTAGGCCTACTCTGGGACCTTAATTTTAGGCGACTTAAAGCAATTTAAGGTGACTTTAGGAAAATTTGGTCAAAATTTTGTGCGATTTAAGGCGGCTTAATGAGATATAAGGTGACATTTAGGTGACATTTAGGTGAATTACATGTTGCATATGTTTCAGTTAATTCTTGGTTTTCCTTTATTTTAAATTCATTGCATACATAACCATACCCAGAAACGATGGAAAAATAAAAATTAACTGAAATGAAAATTAACTACAACATATAAAAAAATTGAAATCTACTGATAACACCACCTCCCTAGGGACGCAATGTCATAGCATAAGTTAATTCAGTCTTGAAGACATCTGCAATAGTCTTCCAAATTTTCAACAATCTTAACATATAGAATACTAAAATAGTAATGCTACCTAATACTTTGAACGTAAAATAACAAAAAGGAAAGAGAAAGAAAAAAAGGAAAAGAAACTCGTATCATCTCCGGTTATGAGAAAACAATATTTTGTCGCAAATAATTTGTTGGGCGAGGGTCCATGGAAATGACAGTAACGAGTGAAGGTTTGCTTCTAAATTCAAAATATATTAAAATGGGTCGCGAGGAGCGAGGTTTTCAAGCTTTACTCATACAGCTACCTCTTGTAAATGTTTGCCATGCGGTTTAACGGTTATTCATTTACGGCTAATTTGCGACCGTAAGAAGAGCTTAGGGGCTCGTCGCTTTGGACTTTAGTAGATAAGATTCACATTCGCCGTGAATCAGTTGCGGTGGCAGTGGTAGCGCAGCGGTAGTTTCTAACTGTTATCGGTTAGCCTTAATTATATCCGTCTCCCGAGTCGCAAGTGAAGTTTGAGACTCGAGGAGATGGCTGAAATTCAAGCTAGATCACAACCCCCTATTTTCCTCCGCCAAGTTGAAGATTGCGATCGCCGCTGTCAAAGTGATTTGGGTATCCTCTGACGACTAAACTGGTGAGAGTTAAGTTGGTGCTAATTCGAATGGTTTGCTAACGTGTGTGTGTGGAACGACAACTTTTATGGGAGGGGCTTTTGTGATTCCCGCGATCATGCAGATCCACACAGACTTCATATGCCCGTTTCAGACCCCAGACAGGACACTGACACGACGGAACCAAATCCTCCGAGATGATGATATATTTAGCAAGGTGGAACAAAAAAAACAAACAAACAAAGACGGACGGCTCCAGAGTTTCCTTTCTATTCACCTTTCACCCGGACACGTGACAAACGAATACTGTAATATTCAGTGAATTTAATTGAAAAATAGTGTTTTCAAAAATAACAAGTCGCATAAGCAAACCTTTAAGTGTCTTCGATAAATTAGGCTTTGTATCATGGCTCATACTCGGAGATGAGTTTCTTTTTCTTAATCATTTCTTTATTTTTCGTTTTTTTTTTGTTTTTTTTGTTTTTTGTTTTTTTTTTGTTATTTTATGTTATTTTGTTATTATTAATTTTTACAAAAACTTATGTTATGATTATCATTTTATTTCATTAATTTTTTTTTTTTCATGAAAATTACTTTTATTTTTTCATCATGTTCCGGGATGTTCCGGCATGTTCCGGAATGTTCCATGTTCCGGGTTTTATCGACGCCCCTGATATCCTTGTTCTGGGCCCCAACGTACTCAACGAATTACCGGCAATTTGAGTTTCCCTTCAACATGATTGGCAAATGGACAATGGCATTTTTAACAGTCCAGTCCTGGCATGTACTCAAATCCTGATACACACACGGGGAGCCCAGAACTAGGATTTTGCCGCTGTTTTGGAGACGGACTTAACCCAACGTTTAGTTCCATCTGTGGCACAGGCTAATATCAAGGGTGTTGGTTTAGTATTACATTACGAGGACAAAATCTGAGATAGAAGCAACCAAAAGGGTAAATTTTCTCTCAGCCTTAAAATGTATAATTTCACAATATAAGGGACAAAAAATCAATTGCAATTAATGGTTCCTGCATTTCTTCTTCCAAAAAATAAAACCGTAAGAGTACAGTATTTCACTACATCTCTGTAAAATACTCTAAGTTGGTTTGTAGCAAAAATTTTATATTGAAGTGTCATTTTTTTTTTTCATAATTTGAAAACAAACATTTAAATAAGTAATTAATTTAAAACATTTAAAATCACTTATCGATATCGCACATTATGGAAATGACGATCCCCATTTTATGTCTTAGCAGTTGCTCTGCCAACGTTTGCCCTCACACGTTAGGCAAAGAGAGTGTTTTTCTAATTGAATTCAAAATATAAAGTTGGTAGTTCTCGCAATATATATTGCTCATTTCCTGTCTCAGTCAAACAAAACACTCTAGTACTTCCAAATACCTGCTTCGCTAGTGAACCGTACTCTCCTCCCATGGTCTCTTTGGAAACTTTCCAGTCGAGTAGCTTTCATGAGCGCATTTATGCACCAGCAGAAACAACTAAGCTTAGTTTCAACCAACCTCGCTCTGTTCCACGCGGAAGCGTTTACGCTCTCAGCATAAAAAGGAAGCATTATGCGTCATGTTTAAACCGATGGCAGTACCAAGTGTGAACGTTTCCATTAGTATTTCAGAAATTTCCATTTAAAAGGAGATCTTCAAACGAAAACGCAATGTACAATTGGGAAGGCACTAGATAACATCGACCTAAGCCAGATGAGTCATCGATATGTCAGCTGCGTCTTACAAAATGAACCCTTGACTTCCGCTCATTTGATCGATCGCTGCGAGAATGTTAATTTGAGTTAAAAAAAAAAAAAAAAGGGTCAATTTTTGACATTAACAGTTTATATTACTAAAAACTGTTAAATCTACAATAGACTCAGCAGTATTACGCCGAATTACGTGGCTTATTCAGAGGAACTTAGCTGAGGCTGGTTTCGGTCGATGTTTTGGTTACACAGGTTTTACTTTTTTCGCCCATGAATACTTATGTCAAATATTAAAGAAATAGACAGAAATAGTAACAGCTCATTTATTAGATTTAGAAGATGGACTTCTCCGACTACTGATCTGATGTAGTTTGAAGTCTTGAAATGCCGAGTTTCGATTGTCTCGAAGATGTTTACATCATTTTCATTCAGCAAATGCGATACAAAAACTCGCATAAACAAAGGTTACACAGGTAGAAAGACACACTAATCAGTTCGAACAAACATTGAAACTTTTCAAGTGCGAAGAGAAAGTAAATTACCTGCATGATTTCTCTTCTCCTCGGCCGTCAATCTGAATTCTGCGTATAAACAGCTAAGCTTATTCAAACATGAGCTTAGCTAGATAAAACTGTATTCACAACGGTGGATTAACAGCGTAAATCTGAGCAGAAATTAGACACAACTTACATATTTCGCTTCCCTCTCACTTAAAGCAGGTGAATTGAAAACATTTTTACGAAAAGACGAGATTCTTGAATTACCAAGACGGCAAAATACGAGCAAAATGTTCTCCGTACTCCCGACTACGCAAAACAGCTCAACAACACCGTACGCATTTGAAAACTGTATAGTTGAATTTGCGCCGTATAAATAAATGTACCCGCAGGACTACGCGGGGAGAATAAACGGTCACGTGGTTTTGATCATGCGCAGTAGCATGTTTAACCGTAGTCGTAGTCCGTATTCGCCGTATCTTAAACTCCCTAGTGTCGACACGCCACGAAATACTATCTAACATCGACCGAAACCTAACCGGATCTCTGCAGTGGTGCTGAAAAAAAAAATTACAATTAAAAAAAAAAATGAATAAAATAAATCGAGCAAGAGTGTGTTTATTGCTGTCCTTAGAGTCTGAAACAGTTGTATTTCAGCTTTTTAGACTTTCAGCTTAGAAAGTTTAAAAAGTTCGGAAAATTATTAGTAAAGTTCTACTTTAACAATCCAGTGGAGGGTACTTGACCAAGTGGCATAAGGGGAGATCTAAGTCAAAAGCCTTCCGGTAGTTAAGGTCTTTGTGCATAGCACCCCCTTATGGTTCAAGGGAAGTACCCTCCGCCTATATTGCAAAAGAGGATCCTTGGTTTAAGCAAGAGAAAATTACTAACATATATACGGCAGGTGCATGTCCCAACTTTTCCTTGCCCCATACCCCAATCCCAAACCTTTACACCCTCAAAGAAAGAACATGTATTGTATGTTCTTCACCGACAAATTCCTTTTTCAGGTGTTTGATATCTGACTGAATTTATGAAAACATGGCTGAGTGTCTAGAGGTTGGAGCCCTACAGGTCCTATGCGAAGTGTGTCTTTGGTATCAAGACTTTGACTTGACCCTCCCCACCCAGGACAATGGGTGACTGTCCACGCCTCCCACTAAGCTCTGCAATTATCATGATAATCATTCTCAGCAGAGGCCTGATTCAGCTGGCTAGGGCAAATTAAGAAAAAGGTAGTTGCTAGTCAAAACCTCTACTGAACACTGCTGGAGGGGTTGTGTCAAAACAGCGCCCTCCTACCCCACTAGGTTTGACCCCGTCGCCTGATGCACCCAGTTAGGGCAGCCCCCTAATTTTTTGGACACTGGACTGCAGGCAAAAACCTAGTGCCCACGTTTTAATGAAATCAGACAGATATATATTGCTACTAATACTCATTAGCCAAAGGAAAAGAGAAATTAGTTTGAGCATAATCATAAGCATAACAGTTACCTGTATATCCGAGTCTTTGCCTGTACTACTGAATTTCATTTTAATAAAACCTGCGTGACTTCTGTCTTACCTTTACTGTTTAGTCTTCAACTTTCCCAAGAGCTTACTGCTTTAATTCATTCTTCTATTACAAGCTATCGAGGTGTGGGGAAAGGTGGATGGCTAACTGGACAAAAAGGTGAAATAACAGACACTATTTTTTAGTACTGTCATGTTGCTTTGTTGGAAAGCATAGCTAAATATAATATACCAAAATTAGTTTACCTTTTTCGTTTTTGCAGATTAATATACTGGACTATGACTTACTTTTGATACCAGTGCATCTCCCTCATCATTGGGCTCTTGGGGGATGCTGTTCTTTATTAAATATATATTATTATTATGGTTAAAGAAAAGATAGTTCTATTTAGTAATGATGATCATATTTCTTTATTCTGTAGTGTTCACACTACACTTTCTATTTTGATTCATAGGTTGTGGATGTCACACAAAAAACAATCTCATCTCATACTGGGATGGGAAGCAAATTATTTCTCCTGCCTTCTTCAAGAATATCAGGTGAGATTATCTAATGTATTATACCTTTTTTAAACAAAATATCAATAAACTTTAAGTATGACTGCTATTGTCAGAATTTGAAAAGTCTATAGATCTATGTTTTAATAGTATAATGCTATGTTGAAAGTGCTTTCTAAAGGAAGAAATGATGAGAAAGGGACGATTCTTCAACGAAGGGGATTGGATGGATCAAATACCCGAGATAATTATAAGAAGTATCAAGACTTAACACAAATAAAAATTACTCAGTATATAGGGTAACCTCTTTGTAAGATTCATTGACAATCAGCTTTACATCTATGTTGGTCACGGGAATATAATTGGCACTAAATTATGCAGGTAACAGAAAAATGTTTCAGCAATGAAAATATAACTTCTTTCGCCTGCAGTTTTTGTTTAAATTTAAGAAAGAAGCATTTGTATTTGTGGGAAATATTTCTTAATGGCTTCTTTTAAATTTCCTTCCCATTAGGTAGTTCCAGTACAAGAAAATAACTATGACTGTGGAATGTTTGCCTGCTTGGTAAGGAAAAATTTTGCATCAACTGTGTCATTAAAAAAAATAAAAACATTTAAAAGAAAGAATTAAACGCTTTTTCAATGACAAATTACAAAAACATACATGTTGCATCATAACTATAAAACTAATAAAACCTAACTACAACCAGTTTGCAGAGCACCTTAGCAGAGAAGAGCGATGAGGCAAAGGTTGATCTCCAAAAGTCTATAGTTCCGATGAAATACACGGTCAAATGACAACTGAAGTTTCTTGCTGTTTTTTCCTTTGTTAATTTGTTTTTACCAATTAACTGATAATTTTAGCCAATGTTTATAATGATCTGTCCTCAATGCAAAAAGTACAAGAAGGAAACAACTCTTTTATCCCTGGACTGCAGCCAGCCACACTCAGGCCTACCATGTTACTTCCCCAGCATCAATACATGGAGATTCCCTTATTTCTTAAAATATTAATTTTTTTATTTTGAAAATTTATGGCAGCTTGGCCAGTGTCCCGTATACTGTACATAATCTAAAACTGCAAGCCCAAGGGGGATGGGGGGGGGGCGACTCTCATATGAGAGGGGTGTAAATTGCAGATTTTGGTCTCGCTTAGGGTGTTCTGGGCAATACACCATCATATTTAGCCGAAAAGGTCTCTTTTAGGGTTGCACTAGAACAAATATTAAGAAATTGTATATTTTCAATTTGTTTTATTTACTCGAGTCATGTGATCAAAGTTTAAAACAATCGCTTTTAGAGGCTGGGCCACGCCCAGATTGGTCTCCTTTAAAGGTTTAATTTAAAATTTCCGACGAGCATCCCTGCCTCTTTCATATGGGAGTCCCCCCCCCTCCTGGATTGCAAGTAAGGTAATAGCTTATTTTGCCTGGCCTTTTATTCACGTGTGTTATTTACAGCATGTCTAACAGTCTATTGTACATTTAACAGTTTTTAGTAATATAGACTGTTAATGTCAAAAATTGACCCTTTTTTAACTCAAATTAACATTCTCGAAGCAATCGATCAAATGAGCGGAAGTCGAGGGTTCATTTTGTAAGACGCCGCTGACATATCGATGACTCATCTGGTTTAGGTCGATGTTATCTAGTGCCTTCCGTACAATTGACAACAACAAGAGCGCATTTCTATCCGCCATTTTGCTTTTCCCAGAATTCCACTGCAGCAGCAAGCTAATTTCCATTGTTTCTCGGTCCCGCCCTCTCCCCGCCTCCAGACCAGTTAGTCACGTGACCAAAACACAATGCTTACAGACAGCCATAACGTGGACATCGAAAAAAAGCATTTGAAGACAGGGACGTTGTACTTAATAATGGTCGATTACAGGGAGCAATCACGACAACATAAATAAAGCGCAGTTTTACGCACCTTCGATGTACAAAGTTTGAATTTTTGTCTGGAAGGGAAGATCTAAAGAGACGACTGTACAAGCTAAGCTAAGTTTTCAAGTTTGTAAGAGTGACTGTGTTTCTGTCAATGATAGATGGATATAATTTGACGATAAATACAGATCACAGGTTTTGTACTGGAGAAATAATAACTTATCATTGGTTTGCTCCTAAAATCTGAGTCGGTAATTTACATGGACACTTTTTTCGATAGACCTTTAGGCTTGTATTAACTTTTTTACCCTACTTACCAGAATATTAAGATTAATGTTGTGGCGGCAATAATTGTTTTTTGTTTTTTCTCCCTGCAACCTACCTGTTTTGGTCTTAGTTACTTGGAATGTCTTTCAACGTTGGACTCTCACAAATTATATTTCGTTCAGTGTGCAAAGAAAGTCAGGGGCACCCAACGAGAATATAGTTCAAAACCACTTAAACATAGCGTGGTTGAACGTATTTCAGTATTTAACGGTAGATATAGGCATATTTTTATCCCCTAAAAATGATTCATCTGTTCGGATTTCCTAGCTGAAAGTCTAGTGCTCCGAAAATTATAGGGATCAAAAAATTCGAAAATTTCGAAAATTTCAGCTAGAAAAAAAGACTCCCTAAAATTCTAGGTGACCTTTTTAGGGTAAAAATCCGTTAAAATGGGCAAGTATGCCATTTGCTATATGTTCGAAAATCCTAGGAGAGGCGGGCAAGCAAGAAATTTAACAAAACATGTTCCGAAAATTTTAGATCTCAAATCGTCTTCCGAACAGGTGTTTTCCAAAAATTGGCGTTGGGTGTCCCTGGAAAGTCAGCTTTACAGCGTGCTATTCCGGCAAGCTGTACCTAGCATGCACTATCCTGAAAGCCATTTAGCCATTTTGAATAGTTCGATTTTTTTTTTTTTTTTTTTATTATTATTATTTTTTTATGAATGGGATTGATTACAGTTCTTCTGTAATCTGAATTCCCTAAAAAACTTTACTTGCCAGCCAGGCAAGTTAAAAACGCAGGTCACCAGCCCAATCATAAAATCCAGTACCCCTGAGCTATTGCCTCTATTCTCTTTGAACACTGTTTAATATAATTTAGCTAGAACGTGAACGTTTGAATGCCTTTTCAACAACTCTTTTATTCGGAAACACGAGACAAACCTCCCCGATGAAATTAATAAAATACCTGTACAAGTGACTGGATAAAGTTGTGTACAATATGTTGTCATTTTTGCATAAACAATATAGGAATGACTATCCATGTCTTGCTTACAACTAATTACTATCTGTATTAAATTGTCTAAAGTAATTCAATTCTATAAATTAGAGGCCTGGAGAAGAAATTAATGGGTCTTAAATCACTGTGGGAGTTTTTTGTGGGGTGTGGGGGGTGGGGGTGGATTGGTCTGTGGCTAATATTATTGAACATGGGTTATTACACACTTTATGAGAAATCATGCATTCTGGAAATAGAGAACTCAAAAAGTAATAACTACGAGAAAATTTGAACCTCCTTAAGATTTTAAAGGTTAAAGTGACTTAAGACGACCTAAGGCGACTTAAGGCGACTTTAGGTGACTTAAGGTCCCAGAGTAGGCCTTCGATTTGCTTGAACAGGGGCCACGAGGAATCGGTTGGTAATGATGACGTTTCTGTTGTTTGCGCCCGCAAGTACGAGATGGTAAGGATGACGTGGCCGCTTAGGTAGATTTTGTGACATTTATTGTACAGTCATACTTTGATACTCTTTTGCGTTACGTGTTATCATGACATTTTGAGGAGCAGTTGTTTTGAAAGTTATGGACCAAAAGAAACTGCACTCGTTAAGCGCAGATGAAGTTATAAGGTGCGTATAACTGTATACATATAAACACTTGGATAGTTTGCCAGACGCGAGTTCCCAAAGATTTGATTAGAAATTTTGCCAGACACTTTTTCTTTGTCTTTGACCGGAATAAGACTCAATCCCAAACAAGCAAGACGAGTGAATCAACGGCTAGATTATCACTAGAACTAGGGTATCTAAAAGATAGTAATGCTGCGGCACATTCTGTTGATACTGGCATTAGTTAGGCAGTGAGACTTAAAAGAATCAAAAATGACATTGAATGTGCTATTTACATGTTGGAAAGTACTAGAATAATTACTATCAGTCTATAGAAAGAACTCGTGGGAACGTTGTTTAGAAAATGATCAAGTGGTTATCAACTCTGGTTTTCCCACAGTAAATTGTAGGAAATAATAGAAATTCAGAAAGTTTATCCATATATTTAATATACGGTGCACGATATTTTCTCTGGAAACACAATACTTTTTTTGCTGTTTGTTGCACTTTATTAAGTAACGGTTATTTAGCTATATATTTATAGAAAACAACAACACAAAAAACGGAAAAAAAAGAAAGAAGGAATAAATAATTCAGTAGGATTCGAACCCGGCACCTTCGACTCGACGCGACTACTCCTAAACACTACACCACAGAGACTGACTACGTAGTCATGAGGAAAAGTCTTTCATTTTATTCCTTTTCCATGAAACTTCCGCCGGCAAGATGATCGCCAGCCGCATTAACCGAGCTACTGACAGTGAAAAAACAATGTAAACGCATATTCCATGGCAATAAATGAATGAAAGAACATAATTATGCTTTTCAAAACGCCGAAACACGTCCTCGTCTGCAAAGTAGGACACAAAACATATGTTTTGTTATCTCGATTTCCGCTGTTATTTTGAAGCGAATGGTCAAAATCACATCCATTTTCGGCTCATACAGTTTCTTAAGAATAGCATTGCATGACATTTTCTCACTTTCACATCACCTTCTAGCAAGCTGAAATTTGTATATCCCCCGTGTTGCGGAGTCGAAGAGCAAATGCTCATCTTCTCGTCACGGTTTAACACCTGGACGAGTCAAAGGCTCTTGAATTGAAATCCAATCCCCAAGTTAACCATTGTACTCATCTGAAAGACTCCTGCATGTCTTACAATTTGGTGAGACCTCTAACCGTGCTGTAGAAAATTTGTCACAAAGAAAACTCTAAGTCTGAGCAGCGAACGATGCACTCTCTCACCCACCGAACTTCCCCGTGTTTATATTTGAGTTGTTCGTGGCG